GCGGGCGGCAGGACCTTGCTCTCCTTGACCGGGCCCTCGGCGCTCTTGGCGGGGCCCTCGAGGTCCGGCAGCTGGGCCGAGGGGCCGCCAGCCTCGCCTGCAACGAGACGGAGGGGGGTGCCCGGTCACGCCTTGGGCCCCGCTTGGGACGGCTGCCCGTCCCGTCGAGGGCGGGCCCGGCCCCTCCCCGCCACCGAGCGGCACTCGAAGGAGGCACCCGCGCCTCTTTGCCCAGCGGGACACGCGGCGTCGCTCTGCCCAGGGCATGAGACCCGCTTGAGACCGCTCCGGTACCTGGTGCCGTCTGAGGCTTCTCTTGGCCCATGGAGCACTCCGGATGGACTCCCATGGAGCTCATCACCCGGTGGAAGATGGCCGAGGTGGCCGGGAGCATCCAGCGGTGCGTGGCCACCTGCTGCAACCCCAGGCGGGCCGCCGGCTTCAGCTGCAGCAGCCCCTCGATGAGATTCTGGCACTCTGCAGGTGGGGGGGGGGAGGCGAGAGGGAGAAGGCAAGCTTGGTCCCCCCCTTCCCATCTGCTGATCCTGGGAGACCCTGCTGGGAACTGCAGGCTGAGGGTCAGCCGTGGGGTGGACCTGGCCAGGCCTGGCACATCCTGCGCATTTTCGGAGCAGCTGGAATTCAGGGCTAGATGACCGTGGAGATAAGCTCCATCATCCGGGTCATGGCTGTCCCAAAGGTGCTTTTCCAAAACGCAACTAAATTTTCTTAGTTTTTTTTTCCTTTGAAAAAGTTTTGTTTCTAGAAGTGAAACATCTTCAAAGGAAAAAAACCCAAGAAAGTCCACTTGCCTTTTGGAAAAACACTTTTGGGACTGGAATTCGGGGCTTCCTCAGTGAAGCTGCAGCTGCCTGGAGTTTCTTTGGGGTCTCCACTCTAATATCCCACAGACAGAACCTGCTCCACAGCACAGGCCAAGCCAGGATCCCTCCCCACCATGTTGGGTCGGATGTCTTGGGGGGGGGGAGAAGTCTGCTGTGGGACTCTGCAACTGTGTCCCCCTCCTCTCTGAGGGAGCTATTGATAAATGTTACCACACTGAGGGGGGAAGAGGGACCTGAGGGGGGGAGGCATTTGCCGCAGGGTCTTCCTGCTCCCACGAAAGCTATCGACCATCGGGAGGCGTGGCAGGACTGGCACTGCAGCCCCCTCCTTGGAACTGGACGCCTGGGTTTCAGGGGTCTCTCCGCGGTGCAGCCGGTCCCCAGCAGGCCATGGGAGCTCTGCCCCGCTGCCTCAGGGCCAGCTTCCCCCTCTCCCCTGCTCCTGTCCCCGGGGCTCACTTCCTCATGATTTTGGGGGGGTTGCTTGTGGGTCTGAGCCCAAACCCACCCTCTGGCAGCAGAGGGAAGAGCCACTGGGCACAAGGCTGTTGTGGTCGGACACAACTTGTGGCCCCTGCAGGACGCCCCACACAGAGCTGAGCCCCGTTTGTCAGGCAGGGCAGATGGGGGGAAGAGCCCTCCTGCCCCCGGCTGAGCCCCTGCAGGTGAGGTGCCCCCCCGTACCTGGCGAGATCGGCTGCCGGAAGGCCAGGCCTTGCTTGATCACGTGGATCATCTTGTGCGGCTGCCGCTCCTTGAAGGGAAGCTTCCCTGTCACCATGGCGTAGAGGATCACCCCACTGTGCGAGAGGAGGGGGTCAGGAGGGGCCTCTGGGTCACGTTTGGCCCCCCACCCCCCACCCCGGCTGTGCTTACAGGCTCCACAGGTCAGCCAGCTCCCCATTGTATTTCTTGCTCATGAGGATCTCGGGGGCGGTGTAGGCCACGGAGCCACAGAAGGTGCTCATTAGGGAGTTCTTCAAGGAATAGCGGTTGGCGAAACCGAAATCTGCAAGGAGGGGGAGCCGTCAGGTTCTCCACCTGGCCCCGGAGCCCAGCCCCTCCCCCCAGCAGGTAAATTTATCCCCAGGTGGAACAGAGACAGGCCAGGAGAAACAGCGGCGCTCGGCAGCGTGCAGAGCGATAAAGCGTCAGCCTCCGTGGAAGAGAGGTCTAGGCAAAACTCAGAATGACAAGAGTTGGATGGGACCTTGGAGGTCTTCTAGTCCAACCCCCTGCTCGTGCAGGAGACCCTACACCGTTTCAGACACATGGTTGTCCGATCTCTTCTTAAAAACTTCCAGTGATGGAGCATCCACAACCTCTGAAGGCAACTTCTGTTCCCTTGATTAATTGTTCTTGCTGTCAGGAAGTTTCTCCTTAGTTCTAGGCTGGATCTCTCTTTGATAACTTTCCGTCGGTTGCTTCTTTGTCCTGCCCTCAGGTCATATGGAGAATAGGTTGACCCCCTCCTCTGTGGCAGCCCCTCAGACATTGGAAGGCTGCTATCCTGTCTTGAGATGATAACTCTTGAGATATTAGCCTAGACCCGTGGTGGCGAACCTATGGCACGCAGGCCACAGGTGGCACGCAGAGCCCTCTCTGTGGGCACACGCACCGTCGCCCCACTCCTAGGCCTTCAGCTGTGTTTTATAAAACCTTTTTTGCTTTAAGCCTTCGCCGTGTGCAAAAAAAAAAAAAAGGTTCAATCAATCAATTTCAACTTCTCATGAGAAAAAGAAAATCTCACAAAGTTGGAATTGATTGATCGAACTTTTTAGTCCCACCCAGTCTGCCGTTACCACCGCAGCCACGCCCACCCAATGGGCCACACCCACCCAATGGCCCACGCCCACCCGGCACCTGATGATACATAAGTAGGTTTTGGGTTGCAGTTTGGGCCCTCGGTCTCTAAAAGGTTCCCCATCACTGGCCTAGACTCATGAAGAGGGCCGGGGTACCTATACGGCCCTCAGGTCCATAGCACTTCATGGACTAATTAACTTCCTTGGGGAATGGATCTTGCCTTCCAAATGGCCAGGGAAAGGGACCAATGAGCAACTGCAGCCTCAGATCTCTTCCTGAGAGTTGTCACTGAGGCACGAAAACTCCCTCTTGTATTTAAAGACAATCGGAGACATCGCACAAAAGACCAGGTTAGAAACCCGGATCATTTGGGCTGATTGGGGGAGGGTGCCATGTTGATCCCCCCTTCCCCCCCCCCCGGGGACTGCTGTGTGCTGTTCTGTAATGCTGCTCCCTTCTACTGCAAGAGGCAGGATGAGGCCGTCCCATCCTCCTCTCTTCCGAGAAGTAAACTCACCTGTCAGTTTAATGAAGCCACGTTCGTCCAATAAAATGTTCTCGCACTTCAGGTCTCTGTGGGGAGGGAAGAACAGGGCCATCTGTTGATCGGCACGGATGCTTCTCCCTTGCTTATTCAGCCAGGACAAGCACCGTCCGGCCCAGGGTGTGGGTCGCCCCCTGCCTAGCGGACCTCTTCCAATGACCCCAAGTGGGTCTTCTTTCCCACTGCAAGTTCTCGGGGGGGGGGGCTGGAATCCAGGGGATGCTGCCCACTGGGTCATCTGCCTCTTGGCTTATGACCTCATGTGACTTGCCTGCGTCCCTCCCTTCTGCCCGCCTGCTTATCTCACCTGTGGACGATGCCAACATTGTGACAATGGGCCACAGCGCTGACGATCTGTCGGAAAAGCCTCCGTGCCTCCTCCTCCTCCAGGCCAGGGTACTCCCTCCGGTCAGACGTGGCGTTGATGTGCTCCAGGAGGTCCCCCCGGGAGGCCAGCTCCAGCACCAGGTAGGTGCGCTTGTTATTCCTATACATCTCGTAGAGCTGGATCTGCAGGACAGCCGAGTTTTTACTGAGCGTGGACCCAGAGAGCCCACAGCATTCCCCTCGTTCTGCACAGATCTCCTAGCGCAGGGATATGCAACCTTGGCTCTTTTATGACTCGTGGATTTCAACTCCCAAAATTCCTGAGTCAGCCAGTTGGAAGGGACCTTGGGGGTCTTCTAGTCCAAGGAGAATACAAGGACAGAGTAGTTTGTATTCTCTTCAACAACTGTTTGCTGGCAGAGCATCCAGGAAGCCATCAGTGAAGAGAATACTTGTCTTCTCGTCCATCTTCTGCATAAGATGTCCTTCTGGCCTGGGGGGATCTTGCCCTTTTCCCTACTGGATTTCGTGGTTGTCTGGAGCCCAAGATACAATGCGAACTCTCCTTAGACCAGGGATCTTCAAGCTTGACTTGTGGACTTCAACTCCCAGAATTCCTCAGCCAGCGTGCCTGGCTGAGGAATTCTGGGAGTTGAAGTCCACAGGTCATAAAAGGGCCAAGACCCCTGCCTTAGACTCTCCTTGCTAATTAGCTGACCAGCAGCACCAGGAATACCTTGGTGGAAGCTGTGGGGCAAAGGGGCCAGGGGCGAATGTTGCTGACAGGTCACGAGACACATGTGGGTGGGCAATTAATTTTCCCCACATGAGAAACTGGGATTGCTGTTGGGGGCCGAACCAGCATGCATGCACACGTGTAAATTGGGGTGGGTGGGTGGGTGGGAAATAGTCGCCTTCAGAATAAAAGGGATCCCCACGGGACAGCCAAAGGGGCCATGAAACACCCAGGACTGGTGTAACAGAAGATTTTCTGAATGAAATGACCAGTGCAAAGTGGCCCAGAGGCCAAATGGGGGCAGTTTGGCTCTGATTCTGGACTTCTAATTTCTGGTGGCCCCAACTCAGCGACTCCGACCCCTGGTCTGGAGTTAATGGGTGAAACAGAAAGACTGGCACGAGTAAGCAGACAACAGGCCTGTTGGTGCACTGGATGCATTGGCATGGGGGTCCAGCAAAACCAGTTCCCGTTGTTGGCCTTTGATGGGCATATTTATGCAACCCAAGATCCCTTCTGGCTTTCTCAGAAATGCTTTAGTGCTGCGAATTGGATCTCCTCTGGTGTTGGCCGTTGGGGGCTCTCCAACACACTTTGGCCCGCAAGGCGTGTTGGGGTGCTTTACTCAGAGGAAGCCCATCAGGGTTGGGGGTTTCCCTTCCCCTGCAGAGACTCACCACATTTAGGTGCTTGTAAGTAACATTCAGGGAGTAGATTTCTCTTGGAAGGAACTTTTTGGTATATTCCACAGGGGCCTCTGCTGTTGAAATTATCTTTATGGCAACCTGTGGGAAGAGGAAGCATAGAGCGTGAAGCGGGCGCTGGAGAAAAAAGTCCTCTGCCGTGGAGCTTCAGGGCTGATGGACGCTGCTCCACCCTCCCTGTGGGTGGGTGAGCATCACGTTGGATTCGGCGGTCCCAGAACAAAGCATTCGGAAAAAGAGAAGAAATGAGACACTGTATTAAAATAATCAAAACAGAATGCAACCTGTTTCAACAGTAAAACGAATTACCAGAATATTTAGGCAGTTTAAAAGCTTATCAGCTGCGGAACTGGCATTCATTTAACCACTTTCTGGAGAGGTGGCGGATCTGCTAGTTGAACCTCCCCTCTTACGCCAATTCAGCCGGCTACACCAAGTAGTAAGTGGAAGGAACCCTGGCAGAGCAGGTTGGTTGCTGCCCCTCTCTCTCCCAACAGACCTGCAACTTTTGCACAGAATTGGAGTAACGTGTCCTTCTCGCATGGAAGGCGGTGTCAGAGCATCCCTGACTGAGCAAAGGATATGCGCAAAGGGGCCGGTGTGAGAGAGCCATCTCCCCTGCTGCATACAAGGAACATACGTGTGCATGCAGTCAAAAGGTGACTGGACTCTTTTAAGACCTGTGGACTTGAGCTCCTAGAATTCAAAAGGCAACTTTCAATTTTCCAGAATCTAAAAGGCAATTTTCGAACGGCAACTTTAAGACTTGGGGACTTTAACTCCCAGAATTCCCCAACCAGATATGTTGGCTGGGAATTCTGGGAGTTGGTCCACAGGGTCTTAAAGTAGAATAGAATAGAGCTGGAAGGGATCTTGGAGGTCTTCTAGTCCAGCCCCCTGTTCAAGCAGGAGAACCTATACCATTTCAGACAGGTGGCTGTCCAGTCTCTTCTTAAAAACTTCTAGTGATGGAGCACCCACGATTTCTGGTGGCAAGCTGTTCCACTGCTTAATTGTCCTCCCTGTCAGAAAGTTTCTCCTTAGTTCCAGGTTGCTTCTCTCTTTGGTCAGTTTCCAACCATTGTTTCTTGTCCTTCCCTCTTGTGCTTTGGAGAATAGTTTGACACCCTTTTCTTTGTGGCAGACCCTCAAATACTGGAATACTGCTATCATGTCACCCATTTCTTCATTTCTTTAACCAAACCCAAGTCCTGCAGCCGTTCGTCGTATGTTTTAGCCTCTAGACCTTTGATCATCTTAGTTGCTCTTCTCTGAACTTTTTCCAAACTCTCAACATCTTTTTTGTATTATGGTGACCAAAATTGGCTGCAGTATTCCAGGTGTGGTCTTACCAGGGCTTTGGAAAGCGGTACTAGTACTTCACGTGATACTAGTACTTCACATGATCTTGATTCTGTGCCTCTGTTTATACAACCCAGGATTATATTAGCTTTTTTGGCAGCTGCTGCACACGGCTGGCTCATGGTCAAGTGATCATCCACTAGGACTCCAAGGACCCTCTCACAGTTGCTGTTTTTGAGCTGGATCTTTATTTATTTTTTATTTTATTTATTAAATTTATATACCGCCCTATCTCCCTTACGGGACTCAGGGCGGTGAACAGGCGATACTAAAAACCACAATAATAAATAAATAGTTTCTGTTCTAAAATCGAATTAAATAACAGGCCTGTTCTAAAAACACACCCATCTTGCCTAATCTGTACTTGTACCTTTGATTTTTCCTGCCTAAATGTAAAACTTTACTTTTCTCCACATTAAAATTCATTTTGTTGGATAGGGCCCATAGGATAGGATAGGGCCCATAGTTTCCAAGTTTGGGAGAGCCCTGTTTTAAATTATGAAGAATCAGCTGAACCAACCCCCCTGCTGTTCTGCTAGGATTTTCCCCTGAAGAAAAGGTGACTGACTCTTTCCTTTGTGTACACTGGGATCAGGATGAATCTACTCCAGCCTCTGGGGATCTGAAAAGAACAACCATCAGCATAGATGGGCAAGATCCCCAATTTGTCTCTCTCCCCTGATCCATAACCACCTGGGACATTCCTGTTCAAGTCAAATCATCTCCAGCCATTTGGGAGCTATGGGATCACGAGAACCACCGTTACAATGTGGTGTAACGGATATATTTATTTTAAATGCTTGTATGTCACTTCAGTCATCTGATTCTAAGCACCTTACGAGTAGCAAACAATACAACACAATAATCCTCCTTATATCAAAAATGACCAAGACCTTATTACAGTGACCACTCTGTGGGGTAGCCTGTCACCCCATATTTGGGTGAAAACTCCCTTTTACCCCTGGCAGGAGTCCTACAGGGGACAACGGTGCCCAAGCCCCTCATCGCCCTGCAGGCGCTCTCTGGGCATCCAATACAGGTAACACCCCCCCCCCATCCTTGTTACTCTGGTTGAAAACCAGCTTCCAGGCAGGGCTGTAAGGTGTCCCTGTTTTTTCTACTCAGCAAATATATTAAAGTCTAGAGCAGGGGTCCCCAACCTTGGCCACTTTACGACTTGTGGACTTCAACTCCCAGAATTCCTCAGCCAGCAACGCTGTCTGAGGAATTCTGGGAGTTGAAGTCCACAAGTCGTAAAGTGGCCAAGGTTGAAGACCCCTGGTCTAGAGGGCTAACGGTGTGTGACTTGAATGCAGGCTGCACCATGCTGAGCTACATTTGTAATCTTGTGATGTAGGTCAGAGGTGTCCAACTTTGGCAACTTTGACTTGCGGACTTCAACTCCCAGAAATTCCCCAGCCAGCATAGAATTCTGGGAATTGAAGTCCACAAGTCTTAAAAGTTGCCAAGGTTGGACACCCCGATATAGTTTAAACAAAGCTATAACTGAAGTGCGTTCTAGGAGAACAAATAAAACACACTTTTTTGTGTCTGAGGGAACAGAAAATATTGCACCTAGATAGGCTCGATCCGTCACAGCGGAATTGCTAAGAATGCCACTTCTCAAAAAGTAAAGTTGGAAGAAATATACGCAAGAGGCAGGGCCCCCTTTCTCTGGGAGGAAATCCCGGGTGCCCCGGGTGCTGTGGGTGTGCCCCAGAGAAAGGGGGAGGGCCCCAAAATTTGCTCCTGAATTTTGACTCTCCTGGCAGCCCGTTGTCCTTTTCTGCTGCCGTTTGGACAGAAACAACAGGGAAAGCTACAGCAGGAGGGTCACACTGGTGCTGCCCTTTTGGGAAGACCCACCTAAGGTGAATTCATGAATTGCAGAATTACAGAACTGGGAGGGACCTTGGAGCCCAGAGCCAGCCCTGGCATTGAACAACTGGGACCCGTTTCTAAGTTTTGCTCCTCCGAAGTTGGCTCTGATTTCTTCTTTCTTCCATCCCGGTTCCTACTTCAGATCCAGGAGCTGAGAAGTAGATTCGCTGGCGGGCATAAGAACTGCAGGACTCACGGGCTGCCATCTCCAGACGAGGCAGGAAGCATGGAGTGGGGAAGGGACACAGCATTTCAGCACCTGTTCTGCTTTCACCCGTTCTCGGGCAAAGAAGGGGGGGGCTTCTGCGTCCAGCCAGCTCAGAATCCTTTACGTGAGAATTCTCCTGCAGCCTGAACTTGCTGTGCCTTGGCCACCAGCCCCCTCCTGCCTGAGCGACAGCCTTTGCGGTCGATTGTGGTCTACCAAGGGGTCAGTGCCTCAAACATCATCATCATCATCATCATCATCATCATCATCAAGTTGGAAGGGACCTTGGAGGTCATTGAGTCCAACCCCCTGCTCAGGCAGGAAACCCTACACCATTTCGGACAGATGGCTGTCCAGTTTCTTCTTAAAAACTTCCAGTGTTGGAGCATTCACCGCTTCTGGAGGCAGGTTGTTCCACTGGTTAATTGTTGTCACTGTCAGGAAGTTTCTCCTTAGTTCTAGGTTGCTTCTCTCCTTGATGAGTTTCCATCCGTTGCTCCTTGTCCTGCCTTCAGGCGCCTTGGAGAATAGTTTGACTCCCTCTTCTTTGGGGCAGCCCCTGAGATATTGGAACGCTACTATCATGTTCCCCCTCGTCCTTCTCTTCATTAAACTGGACATACCTAATTCCAGCAACCGTTCCTTGTATGTTTTAGTCTCCAGTCCCCTAATCATCTTTGTTGCTCTTCTCTGTACTCTTTCTAGAGTCTCAACATCTTTTTTATATTGTGGTGACCAAAACTGGATGCAGTATTCCAAGTGTGGCCTTACCAAGGCATTGTAAAGTGGTATTTAATACTTCACGTGATCTTGATTCTATTCCTCTGTTAATGCAGCCTAGCACTAGTGTTGGCTTTTTTGGCAGCTGCAGCACATTGCTGGCTAATATTTAAGTAATTGTCCACTAGGACTCGGAGATCCCTCTCACAGTTACTACTATTGAGCAAGGTACGCCCTATACTATACCTGTGCATTTGGTTTTTCTTGCCTAAATGTAGAACCTTACTTTTTTCACCATTGAATTTCATTTTGTTAGATAGTGCCCAGTGTTCAAGTCTGTCCAGATCCTTCTGTATCTTAAGCCTGCCTTCTGCAGTGTTGGCTATTCCTGCCAGCTTGGTGTCGTCTGCAAATTTGATGAGTTCCCCATCTATCCCCTCATCCAAATCGTTGATGAAGATGTTGAAGAGCACTGGGCCTGGAACAGAGCCCTGGGACACCCCACTACACACTTCCCTCCATGTAGATGCGGTTCCATTGAGGACCACTTGCTGAGTACATGCTGCAATGTTCCTTGCCATTCTGGTCAACAGCTGCCTTGGCTGCCAACTCAAGAGAGGGAGCTTCTTGTCTTTGTTGCAAGAGCCCCCCCTTTGAGATGTAGCCCTCCCCCCAAATATCCTGAAGAAATTTCCTGCTCAAAGATGCAAACTTACCTGAGTGCAGGTACAAAGATGCTCAGGCTGGGCCAGTAAATCAGGAAGCAGGATTAGACCACTTGCAAGTCGGAGCCCCCACCACCTTTCCCAGACTGACTGGTGTCCGGGATGCTTTCCAGTTCAGGTACAGAACCTTAATTACCCACCTTGGACAAAGGGATCTGGGGATCAAGCGATCTCAGTCCAGAAAGCACTTGGTTCAAGGAGGCCGTTTGGCAAGGAGGATCTTGAAGGACGGGAGAGCCAGCCTACAGGGCAGGAAGAAACCCATTTTCTGCAACCCTTCTTCTTATGTTTTAGTCTCCAGGCCTTTGATCCTCTTAGTTGCTCTTCTCTGAACTTTTTCCAAAGTCTCAACATCCTTTTCGTAGTATGGTGCCCTAAACTGGATGCAGTATTCCAGGTGTGGCCTCACTAGGGTTTTATAAAGCAGTACTAATACTTCACATGATTTTATAATAATAATAATAATAATAATAATAATAATAATAATAATAATAATAATAATAATAATAATAATAATAATAATAATAATAATAATAATAATAAAGTTGGAAGGGATCTTGGAGGTCATCGAGTCCAACCCCCTGCTCAGGCAGGAAACCCTACACTATTTCGGACAAATGGCTGTCCAGTCTCTTCTTAAAAACTTCCAGTGTTGGAGCATTCACCGCTTCTGGAGGCAGGTTGTTCCATTGGTTAATTGTTCTAAATGTCAGGATATAATTTACTTGGACTTCAGTAAGGCATTTGATAAAGTAGATCACAACCTACTACTCGAGAAGATAGAAAAATGCGGGTTAGGCAGCATCACCACCAGATGGATCCGTAGTTGGCTGACCGGCTGTGCTCAGCGTGTGGTCCTCAATGGAACTGCATCTACATGGAGGGAAGTGTGCAGTGGGGTGCCCCAGGGCTCTGTTCTGGGCCCAGTGCTCTTCAACATCTTCATCAACGATTTGGACGAGGGGATTGTATTAGCTTTTCTGGCTGCTGCCACACACGGCTGGCTCATGTTTAAGTGGTCATCCACTAGGACTCCGAGGTCCCTCTCACTGTGCTTGTATCTTTGGTTTTTCCTACCCAGGTATAAAACCTTGCTTTTCTCCACATTAAATATCATTTTGTTGGATAGGGCCCATTGTTCAAGTCTGTCATGATCTTTTTGGATCCTGAGCTTGTCTTCTGGGGCGTTGGCTGTTCCTCCAGGCTCCAAAAACATCTTGGCAGACTTGAGCAATGGGCCCTATCCAGCAGAATGAAATCTGTTTGAGAGGGGGCAGTGGGGCAGAAGCAGGAGGACAGAGTCCCTTTCCCACCCCTCCTGGACCAGCCCCTCCAACTCTCTTGGTGCCCACCCCCCCTCGGGCTCACCATAGAGTGCCGCTTATTCCTGAGGTCTGAAGCCAGCTTGTAGTTCTGCATCATTTTCTCCTGGGTGGCGTAACCCAGATAGACTTTGGAGAAAGCCCCCGACCCGATTTTTTTGGAAGAGAGGAGGTAGCCATTCTCCTTGCTTTCCCGGACCTGCTCCAAGAACGTCCTCCGGTCGGCCTCGCGCTTGGAGAAGCTCTTCATGGCCCCGAACTGGCCCAGGAGGGGGTGGCCCAGCGGCCGGGCTGAGGGGGCTGCTGCAGGAGGGGCTGCCGCAGGGCGGGGGGAGAGGCCGGCAGAAGCCCAGTTCAGATAAACACATCAGCTCTGCAAGGGGGGGGCAGGCACGGCGTGTGGGTCCTTCTTAGCACGGCGCCTTTCTCATCTTCCAGCTGGGGGCTGCCCCTGGCCAAGCACAAGGAGTGGGAGTCCCAGGGGTCCCTTGTTGCTCTGGGCAGAGGAGTTTCCACAGTGACCGGCCGGTTCAGGCATTCCAGAGGCAGCCTTCTAGAACCGAAGCACAACAAGCAGTTGTAGAACTTCGGATCTCGGCCGGGGGCCCCACAGCTGGACTGGATCTCCACCCCCAACCCTGCTGGCAGAAGGCGCCTGGGCAGGCAGGCCTGGGGACCGCCTCTTGGGCAGCGCTTCCCAGAGGCTGGGTGAGTCACAGACTGGATTTATACCTCTTGCTAAGCTGGGACCGGGTCTCTCTCTGGTCCTGCGTGCAAATTCAGCCCCTGCCGTTGGTCTGAACCCCGGGATTCCGTACGTTCTGCCATCCCAGCCCAAAATGGGATGTTCAACAAGTGTGGATTAAGAATGTGGCCCCTCCCGTGACTGGCTGTTTCCCCCTTCAATTGTGTCCGATTCTCGGAGGCTGCCTGGACAAGTCCCTGCTGTTTTCTTGGCCAGGTTTTGCAGAAGTGGTTTGCCATTGCCTCCGTCCTAGGGCTGAGCGTGAGTGACTGGCCCAAGGTCACTCCCTCAATTTTGTGCCTAAGGAAGGACTAGAACGCACCACCTCCCGGCTCCTAACCCCAACGCCTTGACCATTACGCCAACGTGCCTGGCTTGGCTGAGGCCAAAGGTTAGGGTGGAGAAGAGGAGAAGGTGGTTTAGAAAGAGCCTTGAAAAAATGGGTGAAAGGATGTGAGTTAACAGGGACAAATGTCAAGTTCTGCCCTTGGAGAAAAAATATCAATTTAGAATTTTGTGCAGCCTGGCTGGCCGTGCGTACATGAAAGAAATCACAAGCTGAACACAAACCCCCAGTGTGGTGCCGCTGTTAAAAGGCGATGCTGCTCGTGTAGAATCTGGGTGATGGGAAGTGATTGTCCCACCCCACTCTGCCCCCTTGTGGTAGGGGCCCAGCCCTGGCCGAGGAGGGCAACTTGGGATGGAAGTGGGTCCTTTCTGGAGGGAATTGAAAGGAGGTGATGAAGAATAGAATAGGATAGGATAGGATAAGATAATGATAGGATAGAATAGAATAGAATAGAATAGAATAGATATTGGAAAATAGGGTAGGATAGGATAATGATAGAATAGGATAGGATAGGATAGGATAGGATAGGGATAGGATAGAATGGAATAGAAGAATAGGATAGAATAGGATAGAATAGGATAGGATAGGATAGGATAGGGATAGGGATAGGGATAGGATAGGATAGAATAGAAGGATAGGATAGGATAGGATAGAAAATATGGAGTGGAATGTAGTGGGATCTAATAGAATAGAATAGAATAGAATAGAATAGAATAGAATAGAGCTGGAAGGGACCTTGGAGGTCTTCTAGTCCAGCCCCCTGCTCAAGCAGGAGAACCTATACCAGTGATGGCGAACCTATGGCACACGTGCCAGAGGTGGCACTCGGAGCCCTCTCTGTGGGCACACGTGCCGTTGCCCCAGCCCCGCAACCCCCTCACCAGCAGCCTGCCCGGAGAGGCTCCCCCAAGCGTGACCCATGCGGAGCTGCGCAGCCAAGCACATGGCAGCTGGGCAGCAGGGGCAAGACTCCGCCCTCGCGCCCCATGACATGCAGATGATGCTGCGGGGTGTGGGCGGAGTGCGTGGCCATGGCGCTGCAAGGCTGCCTGGGCGATCTGTGGTGAGTGCCCCTGCGGGGGGGCGGAGCGGGGGGGCAGGGGGGGGGCGGGCAAGTTTTTGGGCACTCAGTCTCTAAAAGATTTGCCATCATTGACCTATACCATCTCAGACAAGTGACTGTCTAGTCTCTTCTTAAAAAGCTCCAGTGATGGAGCGCCAAGGATTTCTGGTGGCAAGCTGTTCCACCTGTTAATTGTCCTCGCTGTTAGGAATTTTCTCCTTAATTCCAGGCTGCTTCTCTCTTTGATCAATTTCCAACCATTGTTTCTTGTCCTGCCCTCTGATGCTTTGGAGAATAATGTAGCAACCCCCCTCTTCTGTGTGGCAGCCCCTCAGAAGGGAAGACCTGACAGAGTGATACAGGGAGGAGAGAATTGCCCTGGGGACTGGGTGTGTGTGTGTACTAAACTGTCATTCAATGGAACAGAAGTTGCCTTCAGAATTTGCAGGGGCTTCATCACTGAAGGCTTTCAAGAAGAGACCGGACAGCCACTTGTCACAAGTGATACAGGGTCTCCTGCTTAAGCAGGGGGTTGGACTAGATGACCGACAAGGTCCCTTCCAGCTCTTATTTTATTATTCATTATCTGGAGGGTGGGAGCTACAGAGACAGGACAAGGACAGCAAGCCCAGTCTTAAGGCAGGCAGGGGTCATCTGCCCGTAATGAGGCAGGCTCCAGCCCTTACCTGCTTGAATGCCAGTGAGCAAAAGAGAGGCAGTTTGTGTGGGGTTTGGACACCTGCTCCCTTGCACCCCCAAAACTCTTTGAGTTTTCTGGGGACGGGACTGCGGAGCCAGAAGCCCCTCCCGAAAGTCCCACTCGGAAAACCAGACCGTCCAGAGTTTTGCAAAGCAAACTCGCCGCACGAAACGGGACGTGGACAGCAAACGGGAGCCGGGACGAGGCCGGTGCTGGGCACGTGCCCCGGGCAAGTGTAAATTCTCCTTCGGCTATTTCGGGCAGTTCAAGGCAGCCCACGATCCCCCCCCCCCGTTACATTAACCAAAGAGCTGGAGGCGCTGAAGGTCTGCGGGCCCCGGGGAGCCCCGGTTCCGGCCCCCCTTCCCGTCAAGCTCGGTCTAGCGCAGGGGTCTCCCACCTCGGCCACTTTAAGACCTGTGGACTCCGCTCCCAGCAAAGCCTCAAGAGGCCACGGCCGGAGGCCCCGCGCCCACCAGCCCTCAGTACCCGAGGCGAAGGAAGCGAGGAGGCGGCGGAACAAGCCAAACGCCGGCGGGGTGCACTTTCAACTGACATGGGGGGTGGGGGTGGGGTCGCCCCAGCCGATGCTCCTTCCCCTTTCACCAGAGCAGCGGATCCCGGGCCTCGGGCCAGGACGTGGCGGGGGGCGCCGAGCCGAACTGTTGAAGGGGGCGAGAGGAGGTCCGGCGGGGAGGTCCGTGCAGCCCCCGGCGGCGCCCGCGGGAAGCCCACGGAAAACGCGGCGGGAACATGGGCTGCCGCGCAGCCGCCACCGCCGTCTTTCCCGCAGCGGCCGCTCTGCCGCTTCCCGTCCCCGTAGCTCCGCGGGAGGGGAACGTTGCCCGGCCCGCTCTGACGCCGAGAGAGCCCCGTGGCCGGAGAAGCGGAGCCTGCCGGGGCCCTTCTTCCCAGGCGGGGCGCGGGGGGCGCCCGGGCGGCGTCTGTCCCGGCCCGGCGGGGCCGGCCCGGAGCTCTCTGTCTGCTGAGCAGCGCCGCCGCCCGGGGAGGCCGAAGCCGCGGCGGCTGCGTTCGGGCTGGAAGCCTCCGCGGCCCTTCTCCCCGCCCCCCCTTCCCTCGCCCGTCTGGCCGGGGCCCCCGCGGAGGAGCTGGGCGGGAGCCCCGATTGCCCGGCCCCGCCAGGCTTCCCAGCGCGGAGAGCCCGGCCGCCTCCCCTCCCGGCGGCTCCTTCAAAGCCCCCGCGCAGCCCCCTCGGCGGGCAGGAGGGGTCGCTGTCCTCCCGCAGCCGCCCCGGCGCCGGGCCCGAAGGAGCGGCCGGGCTGGCCGGGTCCTCGGCCTGGGCTCAACACAAACGGGACTCCCAATCCAGTCTCCGCGCTTCTCCCCTCTGGCCGACCCAAAGCCCTAAAGCCTCCTGGCTCCGTTCGAGCCCGGCCCGGATGGGAGACCACTCGGGAATCCCGGGCCGACCCTGCAGCGCGGCGGCTGAGCCCCGCCCCCAAAGACCGCGGCTGGGGAGGGGGCGGGGCCGCCCTCGTCACGAGACGCTCTCCTCTGCTCCGAGGGGCGGGGGCGAGTCGGCGCACGCGCGTCAGCCACGGATTGCCGCTGTCAGCCAACGGGGGCGGCGCCCGAAGCCGTCCGCTTCTCCAACGGGGCGCCCTTTCGCCGTTCCGACGCCCGTCTCCCTCACCGGGGGCGCCCGCGGGCCGAGGGCTGCTCTTGCTGGTGGGTCTGTGAGCCCGGGGGGCGGGGCGGGGCGGGGCGGGGCCTCCCCAGGTGAGGGCGTGGCCTTAAATACCCGGAAGCGCTGCTCCCCGCCAGCCAGGTGCGGAGCCGTCCCGGCGCAGCGAAGGGCGAGTGAGTGGCGGCAGTCCGGGCGGCTCCTCCCCTGCCCTGCCCTCCCCTCCCCTCCGCCCCCGCCGCGGGAAGGGCGGGCCCCGCCGGGAGGGTCGCGCATCACCCGCTGCGGAGGCTTCCCGGGGCGAGGGGCGAGGGGCGCGGGCTGCGGTTCCCCCTCTGCGGCCGGAGCTGTCCGCCTCCCGGCTGAGCGGCGCTTCTCTCTCCGCCCGCAGGACGCGCTCGGCCGCCCGGGATCGGGGCGCTGCAGGAGAGGAGCCGCGCCGAGCCCGTCTCTCCCGGCGGGCGCCCGAGAAGCCGCCGCTCGGGGGATGAGCCGGGCCGCTCCGCCGCACTCCCCGGGCGCTCGGTCGGCGGCGAAGGGCGCCCTCGAGGCCTCTAGCGGGGCCCGCCCGCATCCTCCGCTCCGCGCCTGGATCGTCCCCGGAGCGCCTCGCCCGGAGCTCCCGCTTTGCCCAGGAAGACCCGAAGCGGCCGCTGCCCCGCCGGAGCCCGGAGCATGGCCGAGTCCCGGGTGAAAAGTAAGTGGGGCGGGGTCGCCGGGAGTGGTCTGGCCTGCGACAGGGGATGGT